AACCAGCTTTCTCTCTCTCTCTCTCTCCCTCTGGTCAAATTACTATAAAAAATAAATAAGGTTGAATAAAATAATTATTTTTAAAAACTTTCAAATATTATACAAACTATAAAATGAACTTAGTAGTTTCAAGATATAAAATCCATACACAGGGGCCAGCAGTTGGTGTAATTGCTATGTCGCCAGACTTCCATGTAGTTGACCGTGGTTCGAGTTCTGGACCTGGCAGCTTGAACTCACGCTGGGCGCATGGATGTGCATGCCCCAAATCCTGAGAGAATGGAGGAGAAGGGATTGCGGTGAGACCATCCCCCCTGGGGGGTGATTTCTCACTTTCTGTCTCTCTGCCTCTCTCTGTCTTTCTGGCAAGCGCATGTGCCCTATTCCAAAAACTTCTCTAAACACACACACACACATATGTTGACTTGGTACCCTTAAATCATAAACAACCTCAAATGAAATTAATAACACAGTGCACTTTATACTATTAAAAACAATAAAATACTAGAAAATAAATTAAATCAAGAAGGTGAACAATTCCTTTATTTATTTACTTATTTTTAGAGGTTTTTGCTATAGGGCACGTGCGCTGGCCAGACAGAGAGAGACAGAAAGCGAGAAATCACCCCCCCGGGGGATGGCCATACCACCACAATCCCTTCTCCTCCATTCTCCTCTCGGGATCTTGGGCACACGCGCACACACGCCCGGCGTGAGTTTTAAGCCACCGGGTCTGGGACATGAACCGCGGTCGACTACATGGGAGTCCAGCAACATAGCCATTACGCTAATTGCTGGTCCCTACCAATTCCTTTATTTTAAATGAGGATATATTGCCATGGGTCAGCTGTGTAGCCTGGTGGTTAAGACATCCCGATCCTACATGACTGAGTGTGGTCCCTATCTATGTTTGAAACCCAGGCCCAGCGACTTGAAAAATATGCCAAACATGTGAGCACGCAGGCTGAAATCCTGCCCAGAAGAGGAATGGAAGGATAAACATTCACGGTGTGACCATGCCCCACAGGGGTGCTTTAACCCTCTCTCTCTGTCCCTGGAAGCACCCGTGTCTTCTGGCAATGGGCAGAGTCACATTTTGGAGAAAAATATAGAGGCGAGACATCTGTGGGACACAGAAGTGGTTTCTTACCTATTGCTGATTATGTGAATTGTATTCTCAACTGGACTGGTCTGAGTTGTAGTTCATACTGGGTAAATTCTCTTGACTATCTAACTGATCTATAGCTATTGAATGTATAACAATAATAAAAACATTAATTAAAAAAGCCACAGGGTGCTAATGACATGCAGACAGACATAAACAGAGACATTGCATAAAATAGAGACCCTGGGAATAAACACCGACATACACGGCTACATGGTTCTCTCGATAGGCATGGCAAGACCATCAGTGGGAAAAGAACAGTCTTTTCTAGAACTGCGGTTGAGAAAAGTGAGTATTCTCTTACAGACGTAAAAAGGAACCAGGATCAACATGCGAGAGCAAAAACTCTATCTTAGAAATAATTATCAGAGGGGAACAGCAGTTAGCGTAATGGCTATGTCGCCGGACTCCCACATAGTTGACCGCGGTTCGCATCCCAGACCCGGTGGCTTAAAACTCACGCTGGGCACATGTGTCCCGAGAGGAGAATGGAGGAGAAGGGATTGCAGCGTGACCATCCCCCCTGGGGGGTGATTTCTCGCTTTCTGTCTCTATGTCT